AGGTGAAAAATCCCAGGAGGCAGAGGAGGAGCGGAGTGTTCACAGCAAGCGATGGAGGGTCAGAGCTCCTGCATTCTGCCTTCCTGTTCATAGCAGCGATCTGGGGCTGCACAGCCTCCCCGGTATGAAACAGACCTTGCAGTATCACCTTGTGCAAAATCTATCATTCTGAGCTATCCCACTGCATAAAAATTACCTTTTAAGTGCCTAAGTAGACACCTAGTTCTATTCCTTTCTTCTTATTTCAAGAAACAATGAGAGTAACAGCACTTGCCTGCCTTATACTAGAGTGCTGAGAGCTTTAATTAATGTCTCTAATTCAATTTGAACTCCTTGGATAAAAGGCACTGCCTTGTGACAGCAAAGGTATTGCCTAAAATAGAATATAATTAACACACAGATATCAATCACGATGAAATTAAGTGTACATTCAAATACAACTTGCACTTTACAGAAAGTACTTGCCTATTTTTCCTCCAAGAATCCTGAAGACTCATAAGACAAGGAACATTTGATGTTCCAGGCTGAATTCAAATTAGAATAAGAGCACCTAACAAAATAAAAGGGGTTGTAACTGAAGTGCCCATTTGCGCTGATGGATGTGCCTTCATGACGGACAATGATGGAAACTGGCTGTAACATAACTCAGAATCAGTACATGGAACACTTTCTTCTCCCAGTATTTATTTACTATGAACCCTAGCTTGTGTCCAAGCTCACCCTCTGATCGTGTTTATTAACAGATGTAAGAATGGCGTGATCGTGTTTGTTGACATGAACCAGAAGGACCCAAATCATTGCATTTCTCCGTAGTTCTCCTGGGTGGAAATGGGCTTTGAACTTGGATGTTTTTAACTGTTGTGTTGCAAAGCTTGCCTAGCTTGTGTCCAAGCTCACCCTCTGATCGTGTTTATTAACAGATGTAAGAATGGCGTGATCGTGTTTGTTGACATGAACCAGAAGGACCCAAATCATTGCATTTCTCCGTAGTTCTCCTGGGTGGAAATGGGCTTTGTAGCTTGGATGTTTTTAACTGTTGTGTTACAAAGCTTGCTGACACCTTGAGATGGTTGTCATTCATTGCTTGTAGGACAGAAACAGCTGGTGAGCCACGTGGGCAGCAGGACAGCGCTTTGCTAGGTGCTATGTGCAGATGACGGCCTCTCCAACGAGTTCATGATCCAAGTAGTCCAACAAATACTATTGTATCTCCAAGCTGATAATTGGGAAGTGGGGAATAAAGATTGTAGAGGGTGTCTAGGGCAGAACTGAGCAGAGTGCTGGATTCCTGGATCAAAACCCAGTGTCTGACTCCCCCAAGCCTCCCCTTCAGTGCAGAGATTGCTTCTGTGCCAGATTTAACTTTTAGTCTGTCTTGAGTCTCCCACCCAAGGGCTATATACTTGGAGACATCATCTCCCTGCCCCTTTTCCCGTCTCCTTTGCTAAACCCCCAGAACATATCTTACATCAGTGGAGCCCCATAATGACCCACAACAAATTAATTTCAGATTCAAACTCGTTAGGAGTTAGATTGAATACACCGCACAATATCGCCTTAGACACAGAATAATCCCACTTTAGTAAGCTTTATAGCTTCCATGGGGACAGCCCCGTGGTGTGTATTAATCTTTAATGTGAAACTACATCTCTACAGCAGCTACAGGGGGGAAAAAGATACTACTAAAAAATTAAAGTTGATGGTGTGATAGTTATCTAGACCCAATTGTGCTCTGCAATCCTCCATCGCCTCTGGCACCATTCCCTGCTCTCAGCACTGATACAGCCACCTTCCAGGCTGGAGATGTGTCCGTTCCTTCCAGTGATCTCAAGGCATGTTCTCCCCATGTCCTAACCCTTGGTAAAGAGCCATCACAACTCTAATCATCCTGACTCTAGCCTTGACTTAAAAGAAAAGGAAGGGAGGATGAAGAGGTGCATGGGGGGGGATTAGTGACTGTCTCCTCCCTTTTATAGGCTGATATTTCCCCAATGTGTGATGCTCGCATGTGGGAGGACACACTGGGATTTCTCTGAAACTGGTTTCGTTTGGCTCTTCTCATATTTCAGTTCACACTTGCACTGTGCTGGGAACTGGAGGTGAGCTATCACTCCGCTTTGGTTTGAAAAAGCTCTCCTCCTCTCTTTGCAATAGAAATTATATAGAAAGTGAAATGTTTAAAGGGAAACTGATCTGGGCTGGCTGATGGAAGAATTAGTTATGGACGAGTTTGGACAATGTGTACAGAACAACTGATAGTTATCAGCAGCAAATCTGCATACCCATCTGATGGCAGATAAGCTGAGCTTGCAGCCACTCACTGTGATGGGGCAGCATTGTGGATCTGCAAAGAGCAGCAAGGCAGAGAAACAGCCTGGATGGAGAAGCAGGAGAAACAAATTCCTGAACTGGAATTTGGAAATGTTGAGTGTAGGATGTAGCTGGGGACATTTCCTAGTAATCAGCTCAGGTTCCTGACCCCTGTGAGTGGGAGTAGAGATGTACTGTAGGACACTTGGAAGATGCTCTGTTCCCTCAGTGTGGGGCTGGAAACTCCCCAGACCCCAGTGCTGTAAGGTAAAGCAGAACCAGTCCTTTCTGAGAGGTGAGGGACTAAAGCACTGAGAACTGCCACATTTATGGGTGAAGTAGGAATCAGCGGTGAAGGCTGATATTAAACATGTGCCTCCAGAACAGGAACAACCCCCTCAGTCAGGACCTGCAGGTACCATCACATTTAATAGCAGTAATATTCCATCCGCAATTGGAAAGAAGTTTACACATGCCTAACAGCAAAAGCAAACATTAACTTTGCCATACTTAATTTTTTTTCATTTCTTCATGTAATGCAACAGCTGACTGTCATTTTTAACCAACCTTACACAACTCCGTTTTGTCAAGTGCTGCTGAGCTTGCTGCAGCTCCATGAACACATGCCGTGCACACATGCACACTCCCACGCGCTCGGGCACACACACACACTCGCCACTCGTGCTCCCCGTCGCACTCTCGGGTTCCATCCACCCGCGCAGCAGACATGCACGCTCGCTGCTATGGGCTGCAGCTCTGCCATGCTCCTGGTGCAAGCTCCTGGAGCAGAGGAGACAGTCATGCCAGCCACAAATGCTGATGCCCTCTGGTCTGTGCTCTGCTGCTCACACCAGCCAAGGGCTCACGTTCACACGCAGTGCTGCAAACACGCGTGGCACCTCTAGCACACCTCGGTTTGGTGTCTCCTACGCTCTTAGCAAAACCTCTTCTCTCTGGGAATTACAGACTTTTCAGAGAGCTTATAGCAGACTCAGACTCAAACCAGAAGAGTTTCTGGTGATGTACAAATAAGCCTGACACTAAATCTCACTGTAGCAGAGCTCTGCATAGCCTAATTTCTCCTGCTTTAAAGAGTGCAGTCTCTCTGCACTATATTGCGCAAAAATAAGTGGGTATCACCTGTCCTGAGGATACCTTTTGGCCAGGTTTGTGCTCCCAGAGCAGGGGGGATGCAGCCTCAAGATCTCTCTGCCTGCATGGGCATGCCCACTGTGTTGGCACATCTTCCCCAAAACTCAGCAAGGCAGCCAGATGGACAGGAGGTGGGCAGGAGGAGGAACACGTCCTGTGTATGGGGAGGACTTTTTCAGAGCAGCATCAGCAATTCCCAGCACCAAGGAGCACAACCCAATGCGCTGGGCTGCCGTTGCCACTGGGTTGTGGTTGGGAAGCAGAAGGGGAGGGGGTCCGCACCAGGAATGGGGTGCCAGCTAAGTAAACCCCTCACCTTCCACCAAGGGTGGAAGCTTTGTTTGGAGAGGGGCATCACGCCAACAGCGCGACTGTGGGGGCGGATGATCTAATGGCTGAAACGCTGCAAATGGGAGTCAGGAGACCAGGGCTCTCTTCCAGCTGTATCCGTGGCTTGCTGCGTAACCTTTGGCAAGGCATCTCACCCCTCTGTTTCCCTTCCCACTCATCATATGTCTTGTCTGTTTAGCTGTTAAACACATCGGGGAGAGGAGCTGGCTCGGAGCGGGGCTGTCCGCAGCCATCGTTCGATGGGGGGGTGCAGCAGGAGAGACACTCTCCCATCACAGGAGTGACAGTGTGCCCTGCACCAGGTGGTGTGGAGCATCCCCTTAAGCTCCCCAGTAAATCTCCCATACTGAATATGCATGTTCAGTATGTCACCCTGCAGAGCCTTGATCTTGGGAAAAGCCTTGAGGTCCTGCTGCTATCAAAACAGGAGCAGACCCTGTCTCCCTCCCCCAGACACACACCTCCCAAACACCCAGGCAGGAAAGCAGGTTGAGGTGATTTTTATCTGTCAAATTTTGGCAGGATTTCATAGTCGTGTGTGTGTGTGTCTGTGTGTCCGCATGTGCTCGTCACAGAAGCCTGGGTAATTATTTTGTTTTATTTCTTTTTTTGGCAACGCTTTAAAGTAAGATCTGGGTCTTTATAGATTGCTCAGGTTGCATGGAGTATGGATTACAGATCATCAGAGAGACATGAAAGCAGAAGACACTTTTCTCTGGCACGGCATTAAAGGGACAATAGAGGGGTAATTGTAGCCTAGGGTGCGGCCACCTTCTGCTCCCAGCCTTCGCTCACGTCTGCAGCACTGCGGAGAACTTTGCGAGGGAAATGATGGAAAAGCTGGGGTGAGGATGTCTCAGGTTGGGACCTGGTTATTTCAAAGGTGATATATGCTCAGGATGTTAAAGGCACCACCTAAGTACATGAATAAAACACTGCTAAATACTGTAAGAGGTAACACAGGCAGTCTGTAGTCTTTTAGAATTTGATTTTTTCATGTCTGTTTTCACCCTGAGAGACGGTTGTCAAAGGATCAAAGCAATTCCCATATTTAAACTCTCTTTTTCTCCCTCCTCCCTCTCCCCCCTTCATTTCTCTCTCTCTTTCCTTCCTCCTCTCCCCTCTGTTTTTCAACAGGACTCCACAGAATGGAGCAAGAATGAGAGGAAAAAGGCAGACAGAAAAGCATGAACTGGAGGCTTGTTGAGTTCCTCTACCTCCTGTTTATATGGGACCATATACTAGTACAGCCCTCCCACCAGGACCCAGCTGCTACCAACCAACATGTCTCCAAGGAGTTTGATTGGCTTATTTCAGACAGGGGGCCTTTCCACCACTCGCGGAACTACTTATCCTTTGTGGAAAGACATCGTCAAGGATTTACAACCAGATATAAAATATACAGGTATGTTGGTTTCCTACAGCACCTGTAGCTTGGCTAAGTTGTTAGGTGGTGGGAACTCAGCCAGTTCCCATGGGCTCAAGGCTCAAAGTCAATGGGAGACGCATCACTGTCCCCGTTCCACCTGGAAACGCTTCTTTGGTTCTCCACGATGCTCAGCTGGCAACGCAAGTCGCTTCAAAGACTCAGCTGTAGTGCTTTGATAGTGAGATGAAGGCACGGCAGTACCATGGCGATGTGCACTGTATAGATCAAGATGGAAAGGGACCGAGGGTCTGGGTCTGCTTTGTTTGTGGGGACAGATAGGTTCACCGGCAGGTTCACAACCATGTTTATCAAATCCGTGTATCTATGGGCAGACCAAGCCTTGCTACCAAACCCATCCAGGTGAACTGCCAATAGTTGGAGGTTCACACGGGCAAGAACAGACATAGAGATGTCAAGACACACATCGGTACAGCAGCTCTCACGCTGCTGTGCATGAGCCGTAGCTGTGTATTGCCTACCACAGACCTTTGCAGTTTGTCTCTGCGTATGAGTTGCACTTGCCCCCGGAACTGTGATCTTGGTTTAAAAGTTTTCCAATTAAAAACCTACAGAGAATAGGCAGAATTTGGCTGTTCCTTTGCCTTCTAGGTTTTGAAGCCTTTGTTGTTGCCTGTTTCAAGCTCTTCTTGCCAGCTGTGCTATCCAGAAACACACTCTTCCTTTTCCATTTTAACATGAAAAGCTGGGGTGGTCAGATGAGCCTCCTGTTAAAGCAGCAAGCACTTTGCAGTGAAGGGGAATAAGCCAGCAAGTGTCGTGAGATTTGTGCTAAAACCTAGAGAGACTGCAAAACTCTTATAGACACGTGCACATTTACATAATTAAATAGTCCTGTTGTGGTTCAGAAAGATATTTGCAAACACAACCATGCAAACTAGTAGGTAGGAAAGTACTAGTGAGTAGCCTGCTGGCAACATAGACACAGATACACATACACGGTGACTGCGGGATGGGGGAGCAGGGAAACCACATGTGTGCAGGCAGCGTTCTCCCATGGGCAGGGAGCCAAAAGCACCTGCAGAGTCATAGTGACGTGCAAGACATCATCTATGTGTGGGGAAGAAAAATGAGTTGTGCCTGTTCCATGGCCCCCAGGGAGAGCAGCATCCCCTCCCCTCGCACCAGCCTGCAGGCTAACATGGGCTGAAGATGTTGTCCTGGCTTGTTGTCTTCATTCAAAACCGCCCAGGGGGGAAGACAGCCCCAAAAACTAGAAATTATGCTGCCACGCTTCCACTAAGGACATCTCACCATCTTTGCTTGCACAGAGGAGCAGAGCAAACATGCCTTTTTCCAAAAGACTTTCTTCCTGGTTGTGGATATCCCCAGCTCTCCTCCTGCCCTGCCTGACAGCACAGACTCTGATCGAGACTGCAGATCCTGCCCCACGCTATGCCCTTGGCAGCGGCTCTGCCCTTTGCTAAAGAGCTCTTCAGCCCTGAATGTTACCGCAGCAGGCTACAGGGGCTGTACGGGAGAGAAACGCATGCGATGTATGTGTTCAGACACATCCAAGAACTGTCACTGCAGGTCAGGCCAGAGATCCATCAAACCTGGGATCCTGTCTCTAAGAATCATGGAGAAACGGGCCTGGAAGGACCTTGAGAGGTCGTTTAATCCATGCCTCTTCCCCAAGGCAGGCTCAGACCTACCTGTGTCACATCTGACAGAGGTTTGTGGGCAACCCCTGCTGAAAGGTTTCCCATGACAGAGAATTCACACCCAGAGCAGGCAGCCTGTGCCACAGCTTTGCTGTCTCGGCTTTTATAGAGGAGATAAAATCTTGTTTGTATGTGAAGCCTGGGATTTCTAGTGTTACCTGCTGTGGGGTGAGGAACAAAGTCCGTTTTGGTTTGTAGGAGACTGGGAAGAATTTGAAGGCTTATCTCTGTTCAAGATGAACTTTAACCATGGGAAGCAGTTCTGTTTTTCTCCATTTCTGATGGATATTACCAAAGCACTTACGAAAGACACGGGTAGCAAGAGGAGGACACAATGTCCTCTCTTCCAACATGGGAGAGAGCGGGCAGCAGCATTCTGCATGCCCGGGGGTGTCTGAGAAGGGTCTTGCAGATGGTTTTGATGCTGGAGAAGTCATAATTCACAAAAGAAACAGGAGATGAGACAAAGTCCAGTGGAAGTAGTTAGGTAAAGAGTTCAGAGGGACATGGGAAGACTGCAAGGACACCTGGGGATGGCTCTCATGGCCAAATACCATGCACTGAGCTGGGGATGGAGCTGAGGGCTTGGGGAACTCCAGCCACGTGTGTCATGGTTTGAGCTGCTGGGAGCTGAGTGCTTTGAAACAGAATCTCTGGGACTATTGCTCCGACTACAGTCAGCTGAGGAGGAGGGAAAACCTCCTGTGCTTCAGCAGAGCAGATGGAGCCATTAGGTAGGAGGCTGGCTAGATGTTGGAGGGTTGTTTGTTTTTAATATCTGGCCCTGTTGGCAAAAGTGGGCACTTAAAAATTGGTCCAATGTGTTTTTTAAGTCAAAATCAGTCTAGCTATGGTGAATTAGCAGATCTGCAGCCAATTCTAGCAGTTAAGAGCTGGACTCTGAGCACCACACCCTCCAGAAGATATCACTCTCCTGAAACCCACAGGGGTAAAATCTCATTTTGTGGGCTCCTCAAATTGACTTCGAGAATCTGTAAAGCTGTTGGGATTTTGTCAACTGTTTAATTCCAACATAGAAGCCTCTTTCCTCCCAAATGATGTCTCTCAATTGCTCTTTGCACTAGACTAGCCCAAGGGAGGCACATATTCTACATTAAGGATATCACTCCTTTCCTTCTAAAAGCAGCTGATTTGGAGCATGGGAATTTTTTCCGTAGTCTTCTCTTTCAGTGTTCCTTTCCTCTCACACTTTTTTTTTGGTTGGCTGGTTTGTTCGTTGGCCCTCAGTCAGACAGTTCCTTGGGGCACTTGTGATTTTGTTGGATGAGGTTTGACCTAACCATCGCTCTCCTCCCAAGGCCAGTAGGAGCAGACCTCAAACCAGCCTCAGAACCGAGGATTTGGAGTGGATGTGAAATCAGGTGCGAGGACCTCACCCGTCCCTAATTGAAACGCTGTCGCCTGTTTAGCGGTGATTTCCCCAGTGTCTTGCTGTGCGGGAGCATGGACACAGCGCATTAGGACCGTGTCATTTACATCGAAAACCCACAGAGATAAAGCCGCTGTCAGTGCTACACAGCAGCAGAAGGCAGAATGCAGCATTTTCTCATTTCTTTACAGGTGACTTTAAAAAGGAAGCAGCACCAAACCAAACCATGCAACACTCCTCCTTCCATCACAGTCCTGAAGTCTGTTGGCAGCAGGCAAAGAGCCTGTTTTAGTTAGTGAGGCTATTTTATATGCTGCATAAGCAGAATTGCTGTCAAACGGCATAGCTGCCAATATCTTTTCATAGGATACTGGGATCCAGCTCTACCATCCCAGCACGGGAAAGCAGTTCGCTGTTACACTCTCCAAAGGCTCATCCCTTCCTTCTGTGCATTGTATTTTCACAGATTTTAGGTCTTTTTTCTCACAAAACTTGGACCACTGATTTTCCTCCTACATTCAGTCAAGGTTTGCATCTTGCATGGGATGTTAGTAGGAAGGCAAGCAAAGGGGGAGATGTTGTATACTAAATCACGGACAGTAGGGGTAGATACAATTGCATTAAGGAAGCACATTAATCTGCATTGATTCATACTAATAAGGCTGGTTTAGGGGGGCCTCTGGCAGGAAAATGCCGCTTTGATCATTATCTGTGCACTCTGATGCTAATGCAGATAGGATGGCAGATGCTGAGAGTGGTTTGTAGGATGTCTGAATATTCATTATCACTCTCCTTGTTGTTGTTCCGAGTCATGAGAGCCTTGGGTACTAGGTACCACATGAAGGCTGGAAACCAGCTGAAGCTCAGCTTGGCTTTGGGACTAGGGCACTGCTCAGACCAGAAAACATTCCTGTTACCGCAACACAGTAGTTAGCAGCTTCAGTCCACTCATTTGAAGTACACTGTTGTATTGTCCTTTTTTCTTCTCCCAGAAACTGATTATTTAGCTGTAAAGCAAAGCAAAAGAAGCAGCAGGCTGAACATTTGAATACACCATGCAAATAGCCAGGCAGAGGCACTGACATGGAGAGATTAGCTAATGATGCTGCTCAGTTGAAACAAGTTCTAGAAAAACAAACCTTTTCTAGAAAAAAAATGAGGCTTTGTAGTTTGATGTCAGAGGTGAGACACAGTAGGCAAAGAAGGAAGCAGTGAGCTGATGCCCCATCCCTGGCGGGGTTCAAGGCCAGGCTGGATGAGGCTTTGGGCAACCTGGGCTGGTGGGAGGGGTCCCTGCCCATGGCAGGGGGTGGCACTGGATGGGCTTTAAGGTCCCTTCCAACCCAAACCATTCTGTGATTCTGTGATCTTGTCCAGGCAGGTGGAGAGGCTCCCACGGCCAGTTTTCCTACAGCAAGGCAGGGATAGGTCCCAGTGCTTTGGTGAGAGGGACCCACAGTTAGGCTGGCAGAGAGGTAACGCAGGCAACATCTGTATTTTTGCCCCAGGCTCACGGTTTGGCTGTGGGTAGGCTCACTCTGTGCCTCGGTTCCCTCCCTGCTCCCCTGAGAATGGGAGATGACAGTGTTTGTCTGCTCAGCGTTGCTGGGCAGACTTAATTAAACGCTGCAAGACATTTGAACGTAAGGGAGGAGAGAAATATAAAGTGGATGATCACACGGGGCTGGAAGGGGAATGTGCATGTGCAAGGAGAAATGTGGGTTTTTCTCCATGTGTGGGAGTTCAATTCCATTTTCTGAAATGACAGGAGGGACAGGGAGATCTGGCTCTCTGTGTAAGAGAGCAGGGAAGCCCTGAGGTATAAAAGGAGATCTGCTCACCTTGCAACTTCTCCTGTAGCGGGACCATTGAGAAGCTGCCTAGTTTCATGAAATCTGCAAATA